CTCCCTTGTTTAGTTTTTGTGTCACAGCTGCGATGTACCTGGCGTTGTCAGCATGTGCATTGGTTTCTGTGCGTGTTGTGTCTGTGCTTTTATACTGAGTCAGGGGCTCAGATTTCAGTGAGAGGCGGAAGGTTGACGTTCTGTTAGGTTGTCCAAGAGACATGTTCTTGTTGACCTGCGGATAGATAGTTGCCATTGCAGAGGGCACTTCTCCCCTTTTCACGCCCCGTTTTAAGTTTCATTCCATGGTGGGACCTGAGCGAGGCCAGCAAAAGCTCGCGGTGTCCAAGCCTTCCGGGCGCACCGCCCAGCGCGCATCCTGAGATCTCGATGTCGCGCGGATCGTGGCACCGCGAGCAAGCCTTTTGGAGTTGAAGCGGCACAGCCAGGGGAAATGCCCATGATGCTCGTGGTGTGTTTCCACAAACAGTTACTGTATTGTATTCTTTGTATGTTTCCACAAACAGTTACTGCATTTTTTTTCGCAAGAGGACAAACTGCACCAACCATCAGATTCCCCCTAATTGGTGGTTTGGATGGGTGGTTTGGGGATTTGAACCTCAGCACCTTTTGAAACCAGATGGGAAAGGTAGCCCTCAACATCCAACAAACCAAACCAAACCACCAACTAATGTTAACCCCGGATAAATAAACCCCTGGTTGATAAATACGGGGGTGTCCCCTTTTAGTGGGGATTCATCACTTTTGGAGGAACACCCACCTAATAATGGGACGTGTTTATTAATCCTGGGTCAACATTAGTGGTAAGGTGATTTCGCATGGTTGACAGGTTCGATCGCCTTCACAAGTTGAGGTTCCCCTGCCTCCGTTTCAAACGGAAGGAGTCAGGCGGCTGCTTTCTCCTCGTAGCAGTTCCTGGTGCTTTTGGGAATCAACAGTAGCGTAATGCGAACCACAAGTTAAATAATTCAGTTCGAGGTCACTGGATCGATCGAAAAAGCAAAAGGGGGTACGCTCGAAAAAGAAACCACACTCACGCCTTTTTTCCGGCTTCCCTGCACGACCCCTTTGGTTTGGTTGAAACACTGTCCTTCGGCCGGCCCGACACCTCTGGCAAAGCATTTAAGCACAGAGTACAGATATTAACAAAATGTAGACATTTGTTTATACCTGTCTTCATCCAATTAGTAGATACAGATAGCCACTCCAAAACTCGCTTGCAAATGAGATGAACGGATGGAATGAAGATATGAAGAGATGTATAGCTGGCGATTAGGCATGAACACTTATTTTATTCTATGTTGTTTCCATGTTAAACGATGTATTCACAAAGGCTTATTCGACATATATATATATATATATATACACATACTGTTTTATTTACGTGAGTGCGCCTGAATATCAATCCCGAAGTGAGTAGAGTTAGTCACCAGGAACTAGGATTGTCTCTGGAGCAAGCCAGAACCCCCGAACATGCAAGCATTACATTGCATGGCTGACTCATCTTCTTTTCTTCAAGGCTCGAATAGTTTGGAGGATCTGGACATCATTTTCTACCTAACTTTGAAAAGTCGAGGAAGTGGTACATCCTGGAGTCAAGAAGTTCCCTATCTTGGCCGGTTTTGTTTGGGGCTAGTTCCTGAGGCAAGGGGCCGTCCCAAGTGGCTTTCCCTGCCACCCCTCCCCGACCCCGGCGCCAGCGGGGCCAACAGATTGAGGCTGCAACCCCATTTGGGTATGGTCAAAATTAAACCACCAGGGGACAGCAGGTTCTAGTCTTTGTTTCCATTTACCAGGGTAACCCATTTTGGGGTTGCCCTGTTTTTGACCCACACCCATTTGGCCGGGCTTATCAACCCCCCAGCCCTTGGGGTCTTGGTGTCCTGCAACGCATGCAGAGTTGCTGCACGTCTGGGGCTTGCTCGCGTGCCGAACAGCGAACAGTATTTCAGCTGCAGCCGTAGAAGGCGCTGTGATAGGAGGGGCCGCCGGAATCGCAGAAGGTTTGGTCGAGAAATTCCTGGACCCCAAATGACCATGAGTAACTTTTCCCATTTAGTTGGACATATCGACTTTTTAAGTGGTTTTTCCCAATAGCCATCCCATGTTAGTGCCTCATTTGGCAATTTATTCGGCAATCTGTTTATTTGTTTATTCGTTTATTTACTTGCAGCTTGTTTGACAACGTATTTGACAACTTACCTGGCAATGGTTGGTCGTATCCCCCTATTTTTAAGGTTTATAAGATGCCACACCATTTCGGGAGGTCTTTGGGTGTGATTGGTCCCATATACGGAAGGGGGTTCCCCAATGAAGAAGCAACGAAGCAACCTGCAGAGGGAGCGGGGAGGGGGCCATGTTTTTCTCAGGTGGGGGTGTGGATGTTAAAGGCGTTTGGTGTGGTGTTTTGGTTGTTTCCGCCCCAAATCTTTCTTGAGACATCCTTTCATTTGGCCACGGAACTCTTTCCTGTCTCAAGATGGTTGGTTTCCCTTAAGCTTTAGTTTCCCTTACCCCCAGTTTCTCAGGAGAGACATTCGGAGCCCCCATACCCACAGTAAGGTTCTCAGATCCCTTCTATCAGAAGCTTCCTTCAGAGTGTGAAGCCTTGATATTTTCCAGGAGTTTCCTCGTACGCCCCCAAATCCAAGGCCGATTTCGGCGAATTTTGGCGGCCCCAGCAAAACTCACGACCGAAGCAGTCGTTATCCGCGCCGCTTTGAGTGGGAAGCTGAGAGGCTGCACGAGGCACCAAGACCTCCGACTGGGATTTGGGACCCCCCAAAATGTGCTTGGACAAATTGCTTTTCTTTTGACTTCTGTTGCAGCCCCAAAACAGTCAAACATGCTTGAATAGAATGTAAGGTGCTTGAGTCCCTGGATCGGTGATCTCTGCCGCGAGGTGTTCACCTTCGATCGGGTGAACTCCGCCTCCGCCTTCTCATGGCGTCAATTCGCAATGTACCTGGTTGTGGGAAAGAGGGTGCTCCGGGCTTAGGGGGGGTGTCCTTTTATGACACGGGTTATACCAGGGGATTCTTTTTCGTGGGAAAAAGGCTAGGGCTTCACTGTCCTAATGGAAGCCCCGTCTGGTTCGGGCTTAGGGGTGTGTATCCCTTCCTTTTGGACACAGGGCTCTAGGCTTCCTTGGGAATCCTTTTTCAGGAATCGACATCAAGATGGCTTTATTTTCCACAACCATGAGCAATGTATGTCGTTCCCGCGTAGCTTGGCTTGCGAGGCTTTGGCCGCATTGCAGAGTCGGTGCCTGGTTTGTCTGCCTCTGGCGAGCGAAACCCCTATGATCGAGGTCCTTGACTTGGGGATTTGCATGCTTGGTTTACTTAGTCGAAGCCCAGGATTATCAACACCCTGTTCAACGCCTTTTTAGTTGGGAAGCACTCGTATTACTCCAACGGGGGATTAATCCGGGTCGACGCAGGGCCTGGGTTATTTCTTCCTCAGCTAGGCATGTATCAAAGTGGCTGATGTGGATCAATCGTTGGCGCACGCTTGCCGCGGGGGCTCTTTCTCCAGGGATGCCCGTTGCTGGGAGATGTTGCTTTCTCACTCCCTGAGTTGCCGGACTTTAAACTTTTTTGGGGTTGGACCATTTTTGTGGAAAACGAAAAGTTTGAGGTTTTTGGGCCAATCCACTCAGGAAGTGAGTTTTCGTCTTCTTGTTTTTTCTCTGGCTGTCACAGCCGCAAGCCTTGCCGGGCGGGCTGATTGCACGCGCACTGCTCCGCCCGATTTTTACGTGTGACAGGAACTTGCGAAAAAAGTGATCGCCGGGCGTGTCATGTGTGCCATCCAAAACTTGGTTCCTAGGGTGGACCTCAGGAATTTAGACAACCACAGGCTTCCTAAGAAACATCGCCCATGTTAGGTCCAACAAAACAATGACCATCCTATAGCCGGGCGGCTAACAAGCAAATGAGCATGGAGATACTTCGGACGGTATCCACACACCAACCATGAGTGCTTCTTGATGAAACGGCTGTGAGGTGGCTGGCTTCGTTTGGGTTTCCTGTCTAAAACCATCCAAAAAGGGGGGGGGGTCTCCTTTAACCCCTTGTTATCTCCTTCAGATATTACAGGGGATCCAGAGGGAAGGTGATGACCCTTAACCCACGGGTTCAGCCCCGATTAAACAGGGCTCCTTAAAAGATCTCCATTTTGCCCATTTTGAAACATGGCTTTTTCCACCAAAATACAGAGGCACTGTGTATAATGTAAGGATCCCTGTTAAACAAATGACAAGGACCCAGTCAACTCCTCTGGCAAAGAACATGGTTTTCAATGGCGTTTGGAACCTTAGGGTTAATGGTCCTGAATGCTTAGTGGTGAATAGTCTCCAGTTACCAGGCAATGGCTTCTCGCTGTAAATCAGAATAATCCATATGTACTTGGGCTTATGGGTCCAAATCCATGGGGACCAGAGGCTTTGGGTTTAAGGAACCAAGGGACTGGTTGGCATAGGGAAGCTTTTGGGACTGAGGGACTAGAACCGAAGGCAGGGATGGTTTGAGAGTGATTTTCAAGGGATGGGGAAGGAACCTGATGTTCTCAAATGAAGCCAGCGGTTGGATCATTCCCTCATACTGGAAACCAGCATGATGAGGGGGGAATGACTTGGCTATAGACCAACAATTTCCCCTCTCCGTTACCCAGTTGAGACTCGCTGTGTCTTGACCTGAGGGTCCAATTGAGCAACGACAACATTTGGGCAGTAAGAGGTATTATGTGGGGGGTGAAATTCGCCATTTCGTCTTGTCGCTGTGGGGGAGAGGGAATGCCCACTTCAGTGGTACCAGAGAGAGAGAGAGAGAGAGAGAGAGAGAGAGAGAGAGCGAGCAACAACCAACAGTGACCACCAAAACGACAACCACGGCCAAAGCAACGACGACAGCAGCAGCAGCAGCAGCAGCAGCAGCAGCAGCAACAACAGCAACAGCAACCGCAACCGCAACAGCAACATCAACAGCAACAACAACCGCGACGGCGACAACAAGAACAGGCCGCGGACTTGGCGGCAGGCTCGCACACTACGTAGCCACGGCCTCATCGCAAAGAACATCTCCATGGCGGACGTTGCGGCGATGGGGAGGGTTTGGGGCGTCGGGCGAGGGTGCACGCGTGGTCGGAGTACTGCGTTGAATATGATTTGGGTATGGGTCAAAATTAAACCACCCGGGGCCCGCAGGTTTTAGTCGTTGGTTCCATTTACCAGGGTTCCATTTTGGCTACCCATTTTTGACCCACAGCCATTTGGAGAACTGGGGCTGAGCCTGCAACCAATGATTGTTGGTTGCATTTCCGCTTGTGGGAAGGCTAGGGGATGCCCACGCTCCTCCCTGAACATGATGGGGTGGCTGGATTCAGGTCTGGTTTTCTTCATATATCGCCTCATGTTTTCTTGTGTATGGCCACTCGGCCAGTACATTCAATTACACCCCACAAGTCGTGTTAAAAACAATGCTACGCTTCGCGCAGGGTAGCAGCACTCCAAAACGGGGGTTGAAAAGGGCAGCGGTAAATGAGGCTACTTGCGTCGAGGGCATTCCCACCCATCTCAGACCTTCGGTGGTGCCCTCCCGCGTTTTTGGAGGGGTTTCTCTAAAATCAACCAGCAAAAGAGTTCCCTTTTTCTCCCATTGCCACCGGTCTGGGTAAAGTTTGGGATAGGGTCATAGGGTACAGTACATCAACTGTGGATGCTTCCCGGAGTCCTGACAAGACTTTAGGAAGCAGGAATTGGTTCAGGTCGTCTGTTTGAGCGACCCCTGCGCACATGAAATCCTGCAAAGTGTGCCCGGCAAACGAGAACTTGGAAGGCCCTGCGATTCGTATTTGTCTGTGCCATGGTCAAAACACAAGCCAAACAACTTGGGTTTGGCAGCGCCCATGGACACCGGGACTTTTGACCACACGGCTTCTGAAACGATTGGCACGAAGGAGTTGTTTTCACGCAGCTCACCAACAGGAGCTGTGGCCGTAAGCCCCACTCAAACCCAACCCTGAGGGCGTGAGGGTGTCGTGGAGCTGGGGCTGCTAGGGTCCCAAAGAGATTCCATTGGCTTTTTTGAACATATCCTTGATTTGTGTGGCCCCTTTCTACAATCATGGGTCGGTAAGGCTTTCAAAGCCTAAAGGGCCATGAAAAAGCTAAGGGTAAAGGGCTGGAGGGTCTTTGGGAAGAATGATCCAGCTGACAAAGGAGTCCGAAGCTCGGTGAAGGCATTTGCCCTTGCGAAACTTTGCTTTGTGAACTTGGGCAAGTTGCGGCCCCATCTTGCTGGGACTTTTACGTGAGGCATACTCTGTTTGTGAGGGTCAATAGGCCAAACAAACTTGAGCACAAAGTCAGGATCTTCGGTGCAGGCCATGATTGGGGTGTGTCTTAATATAGGGGTACCCCCAAACTGGTGGTTTTTCCTTTGATTGTCTTTAGAACCTGCCTAAAAAGGGCGTGCTCAAAAAACGACACGCTCATTTGTCCTCTCGGGGGAAGATTACTTTGAAACATACTCCGTGCCAGGTTCCCAATGCTGGTCAAACAAACAGACCCGCTTGATAGAGGGATGGGTGGGTCACATTCCCACCACCTCTTGCAACCGATCCGGTCTCCAACCAAATCCTTGAAGGGCTGGGGTCTCCGTTGGAGCCTCCTGGGTGTGCATTGCAGGGGTCGTGAGCCTGCGGGCGGTGAACAGTTTCTGCACGAATAGCGAGCTCACCGATTGAGGGTAAAACATGATGAAGGTCCCTCAGTGATTTCTTCATTCAGGATAAATCGCCTTGATTTGCTCAGACAGTCTCCACCACCACCCAAATCACTACCAAGGGACCACTAGCCACGAGAAAGCCAAAGTACGAGGTGATTTGCCCAGATAGCTTGGAGGCATTAGAGGCACGCCGGCTACATGGTAAGGAGTTTATTTCCAAGTGTCGCAGGTCTTACATGCCAGAAATGGTCACACCAATGGTTATGAAACAAGTTTTAGAATGGGGCCATGCATTGGGAAACATGGACGACGGTTCTTTGCACAAACCAAATACGGCGAAAGGTCAAACCAATGGCTTGCAGCTTGGGGTTTGTACCCCGCAGTTGACCCCTTGTTAGTCCCGCAAACCTGTGGAACAAGGGCCACTGTAGCTAAGGCCGCCTAGGGTTTGCTCCGAACCTCTTAAAGCTGACGCCACAAAGGCTCCCAATTGACCCGAGAGGCCAGAACATTGGCAGAGCAACAAACTGACGCCGGCACCAAACAGCGAGGAAAACCGTGCAGCAAACAGATCGGAGGAAACCAAAGGAGATCAATCCACTGTCTGTTTTGTTTGGACCACGAAGGCTAGCTTCAGTTGGAGCATGGCGAACATGTGTTTCGCCCATCTCCGGCCAGTTGCCCAGTGGCATGGCAAAAACATATCGCTTCGAAATCAACCGAGAGAGATCTGGCCATGGGTCAAAACCCCGGTTAGCCCCCAGTGAACATCCCAATGTCCACTAGAGTACAATGGGTGGTGCACCTACCCCAAAATAGGATCCCATTGGTGTTGAGCCACAGCCATTTGTTCTCCCTCCCTTTCTCGGAAAGACCACTTGAGCCAAAGGTGTCCTTTTTAGTTGTTTTTGTCGAGAATAGATGGCCCTGGTTTACGTGGTGGTTTACAATCATCTACCAGGGCCATCTATTTCTCCTAAAAGGACGACTACCCCTTGAGCGGGTTTCGCAGTTTGGTCCGGACCCCGAAGCGGAAACAAAACGGCCTTTGCAGACCTGCTTCCTTCCCAGCAACGCCACTCTGGCGCCGGGGGACCCAATCGACCCGAAGTTTGGCTTTGGCTTCGGGTGAGACGGGGTGACACAGGCGGCAAATTTTGGAGTTCCTGCGCGTTGTTGTTGGTGTCCAGTTTTGGTTGGCTGGTTGTGGGTTGTTTGTTGGTCTCCCTGCTGGCGCTCAATCCTGCTTTTGTTGATTTTATGGAGCTTTAGCTCCTTTCACCAACATGGAAAAATGCGCCGGATGGTTTAGGAAGACTGCTATCATTTAGTGGTCTCCAATCATGTAGGTAAGAGGGTGCTGAAAGTTACTCCAAGAGGGGACTCAGCAGTGTCCTGTTGGGTTTTCCTCCAACACAAACCCCTAAACGGGGCTGAATCATGTTTGCTCCCATGATCATGACGTTTTTTTGGTTTCGCGCATGGTTTATGTCCTTCTTGTAGTACCCTCAAAGAAGACCCGCCCCGTCCGAAGGCTTGTCCGCGAGTGAGAATGAACCCGCATCCCCAAATTAGATTCCATGGATGGTTGCAGGTGTTCCTTTCTTGGTTCGTGAGTGGAAAGGAAACAAAACAACTTGTACTTTCGAGCCTGCGGCTCCTTCCGACTTCTGGTGCACTCAGCGCCCCGAAGCCCACACGAACGACACACAGCTGGACCCCTGAAAGACCATTGAAAAACTCACCGCTTGCGCACAGAACTCCAGACACCCCGAATCGCTATGACTGTACAGTGAGTTTCGTGTGAGACGTGTAAGACGTGCACGGTGTGTCATGAGTCTTGATGCGGTTGACTGCCGTTTTGAAAGGTTGATTGTTGCTCAGGCTGTGAGGGAAATATTCGACATCCCGAACTCGAATGGTCCAATGGCCCAAGAGGAGCCCGTTCGTTGTCCAAGCACCGGCCGATTTTTTGCCTCCCTTGTGCCTATGGGCAACTATGGCAACTGAAAAACGGGTTTGGGGTGGATTCAAAGGCCGGGTCCCACGAGGTTGGCCTATCGATTTCGCTTGTCAAATGGGTTGTTTGCAGGGTTGCGCTAGCTTGTAGGGTTTCAGAGAACCCCAAAGTCAAATCAACCCAGAGCAATCCCAAGGTTTACTACCCGTTTTTTTTTTTTTTTTATATTATATATATATATATATATATTATTGCCTCCCCCACCTTGCAGGTGAGACGGGTTATCAGACACCGAAGGCCCCAGCCCTAAGTTCCCGGGCTCAGGCACGCGCGGCGTGTGGCCCTGCAAGCCGGGCTGCTGGAAGGCCTCCGAACTCGGGTCACCACACGTTGGGTCGCAGGTTTTGGGTCGCGGTCCTTGCCCAAAGCAAATCGACCTGTGGATTTTTTTTGGATTTGTTTGTTCGATTTTTCATGGCCCCGAAAGGTTTACCTTGTATTCCTAAGCGACCAGGTGAACTTCTGGTTTTCCCTGGTCGATTTTTAGTCATGGCCCCAAAAGGTGAGTTTTGTATTCCTGGGTCCAAAGGGGACAACTGAGGTGCAGAGAGACCTAGGGGAACTTTCTTTTAAGGGGTCATGCGACCAGGGAGATCCTTTTGAGGTCATCCCAAAATATGGCACCAAAGAAGTGCTCCGAAATTTCCCTACCCGCATCCGGGCCCTGAAAAAGGCATGTTGAAAAGAGGATCCGAAACCTGGAAATGGAGGGCTACTAAAACCCCTTCAATGGGATATCCGCACTATGTCTCAAAAAGAAACCGTCTCTTGCGAATCTACCCAAGTTGTGGACAACGGGAACCCTAGATTGATGAACCCACCTCAGTACGGGAGTGTCGCCTGCGAAAGTGAAGGATTCCCACAAGCAGGGGACACCCCACCTTTCATCAACCGGAGGTTTA